AAAAGACGGTGGCGACTCTTGCTTACCGCGACATTTTGCAAAAACAAATGCAAACGCGAACCAGCATTCCAAAACAGTCAGTTCTCATTCCCACCGATCACAGTCACTCTCATTTAGTAAAAACCCTATGCGATTTTCAACTTGATATTCATCAAAACTCAATAGATATTCATCAAATCTCTCAGCAATAACTTTTTTTTCATCTTGATAGTCATCAACGTTAGTTTTTGACTGAAATAGTCTCTTGATAATTTTGATTAGGGCTTCTTAGTTTGTTTGTCTATTGATCTTTTTGTTTGATAGTTATGATCGATTCGACAAGCACCTCCCATACAACATCTTCTGCAAACTATGTTACAAAACATAAAAGAAAAACTAGAGGTGCTAAGATGTATACAAAGGTTAAAAAAGCGAACAGAACTGGTATTCACTACCCAGTTAGAGTTGATGCAGAAACCAGCACAGTTTTTGGTGAACATGCTGATGATTTTTGGAGTAACATTGCATTATAAGTTAGAAGTAAAGTGAGTATTTTGATAAATAGTTGGCGTGAAGTTGATGATGAGTTGAAAAACGACATATGGATCGATATTACATTATATATTTGGTATTCTATCATTTGTTTTATAAATATACTTTATTTGATATAATTAACCCTCGGTTTTCTAAAAAAATAGGCGTGATATATATTTTAAATGAATTCCCAGAATATGGCGGTATGAAGTTTTTTTCATTTTATATTTAATACAATCACGTCAGTTTTTGTGTAAAACCGACATGACACTTATTTTGAATGAAATACTTCAGACTACTATCTAGTTTCTAACTTTTCATATAGCTATCAACACTCAAACATCAGTTTGTCACTCCCATTTCATAAAAAACCATAGACAATTTTCAAGATGATATTCATCAAAACTCAACAGATATTCGTCAAATCTCTCAAAGAAACAACTTTGTTTCATCTTAATAGTCATCAAAGTTTGTTTTTCACTGAAATAGTCTCTTGATAATTTTGTTTAGGGTTTCTTCATTTGTTTGTCTAAGGACCATTTTGTTTGATACTCATGGTCGATTCGACAAGCACCTCCCGTACAACATCTGCTACAAACTCTGTTACAAAATGTAAAATAAAAAATAGAGGTACTACGATGTATATAAAGGTGAAAAAAACCAACAAAACTGGTATTCACTACCCGGTTATAGTTGATGCAGAAACTAGCACAGTTTCTGGTGAACATGATGATGATTTTTGGGGTTACATTGCATTATAAGGTAGAAGTAAAGTGAGTATTTTGAAAGATAAATGGTGTGAAGTTAATGATGAGTTGAAAGATGACATATGGGTCGATATTACGGTATTTGTTTTGTATTATATCATTTGTTTTACAAGTATATTTTTTGTTTAATACTAATAACATCTTTATTGTGTAAACATAGGATGTGTTCACTGTTACTCCAAATGATAAGGATGTGAAAAATAAAATTTTGCTTATTTTGGTGAGCATTGGAGGGATTTAAGACACTGCTCACCTGTGATTATATTAAACATGGAGAAGATAAAGAACTGGCTCTATATGAGGTGTATTCATTTATTGATCAAGCTACATGGGAGAAATTTGTAGAGTCTCACACCACTCCTGACTTCTTGGAGAAAAGCCAAAAAGGAAAGGAAAATCAAGCTAGAAATATCTATCCACATAGTTTGTCTCGTGGAGGATATAAAAGACTTGAAAAATGTTGATGGACGAAAAAAGAGAAAAAAGGGGATGAAGAGAAGGGAGATTCTATATTTCTTGACCGCAATCCATCTCCACCATCATGCCACGAGAAATGGAAGAGGGCACGCCAAATAAAAGATGACGAGTACACGTTAAATGCTAAGCGCGAAGTGGCTCAAGCAATATTTGTTTTAGTTAAATCAATTTGGTAAAGATGAAATTTCATATTTTGTAGGATGTTATTGTTGAAAAAACTAAGGTTGTCCTCTTCACTTCAAAAGGTCGTCATGACATCTTGGTAGAAGTGATTAGAACCGAAGAGCATCATGGGCATGTATGTGGACTTGGTAGAGGCGTTGGATTTAAGGTACATTTTGGACGCTCTTAATCATCTAGATAGAAAATCAATAAGAAAGAGGTTTAAGAGATTGTTGATGTTGAGTTAGGGAAGGTCAGGGAGAAGTGGAAGGAGGAGCAGGATAGGTTCTTGGAGGAGGAGAGGGAGATCTGGTTGCAGATCATGCGGTAGAAATTCTTGGAGGATGAGAGGGAGAGATTGTTGTAGACGTTGCAGGAGAAATTCTTAGAGGAGGAGAGGGAGAAGTTATTGCATACTGTGTGGGAGAGTATCCAGAAGGAGTAAGAGGAGCGAGAGAGGATGAATGAGGAGAAGGTGTCTGAAATATGTACCTGCGATGTTCTTGAGGTATAAGTTGTATGTTGTTATTATTAGTATTATTTTTGTATTTCAATTATGGATTGTATTTATGTTGTTTTTATGATGCAGAAATTAAGTTCATTGGGTATATTCAGCGACACAAATTCAAATCAGTTGGAAATTTGAGAGAATTTACTTGAGAAGGTTATGGGCGGTACAAGTGTAACAAATAGTTTCTCTGCCAACCAGGGTAGTGTTGAGCATGCACCACCGCCAAATCAAGATAGCCTTCAGAGACTAGAGCTGATGTTTCCGAGTATTGAAACCATAATTATGGGTATTCAATTAAGGCATGATCCACAACCTTGTTCTTTCTTAACAAGTCTACTATACATGAATTTTTTAAGGGAGATGAGGAACTAGACATTCAGTTTTGCAAATTTGGAGCTCATAAGTATATTTTTATGTTGATTTCTATTTATGTTCATACGTTCTTGTATTTTAACATAAAGATTTGACCTTGCAGGCACATCCATGAGGTCTGTGTTGAAATTAATCGTCTAAGTATTGTGTCTTAGATGCAGCAAGGATTGCTCTTACTCGTGGTTCTCCAGGACACAAAATCAAAATGTACTTACAAGAAAAGTTGATGGAGAAATGGAGAATCAAAGATTGTTATATTGCCCCGTTTTACCATGAGTAAGTATATATTAAGTTGTGTTTTCATTTATAAATTAATGTTTTCCATATTATTAATTATTCTGAATATTTATGCATCCGACACTGACAACTACTTATCATTTGTCCCAAGAGAAATAATATAATTATGTTTTCTCGATGCACTCAACACTGCCCGACATTGTGTTTAACGCTTTGAGTGGGTAAGTGGTATTATTTCTTATGCTCAAATTTTACTTTAGAATTGAATAGTTTTTATTCAAGTTTAATTTTAACCGACATGTGTAGAGCGATGGAGGAATTTAATATGCACAAAAAAATCTCATGGGTAAAAAGCCAGTCTATACTTACCCAGATGTAAGTATAGTAATTGTGATTTTTGACATAATATTATTTGTGTGCATTAGTGTGACATTAATAAATGAAACTTATTTGTAGTGGTGAAAACAAACTGACGCCCATTCTTGTGAATATTATGTTATGAGATATATGCTCCATATTGTCTCCGGAGGCATTACACATGGATGGATGAAGAATAAGGTATTAGCTTAATCCAATTAGACATATGTATACTTCTTAAGATAATGTTGTTTTTAGTTTATCATAGTTTAAATTTTGTTCTAATTGTAGGAGCTTAGCATCCAAACACCATAGTCAACAAAAGATATGTCGACATCTGATCATGTTAGGTCAGTGTATTCTTATCTCATTATGAAGCTCGACAACCACAACAATAGTTTTTCTTGGTTGCTATAATCTTATTTTGTATATGAACAGAGGTTTTGTCATTTTGATGTGCATATCTGATCATGTTAAACAATATATTTTGTATTAACGTAAATTTTCACATTTTGTATTAATGATATATATATATATATATATATATATATATATATATATATATATATATATATATATATATATATATATATATATATATATATATATATATATATTCCAATTCTGTTACATATTTTGTATTTTCTGTGTAAAAAATGATACTGACGGATTAATAGATTTATTATAATGATATGATACAGGCCAGTGAAATTGAAAATATAGCCAAAAAATTTCATTTTAAACCCCTCATTTATTACATAAAACCGAGGTAAATGAATACCTAATTACCTCATATTATAAATAAAACTGACAGTTATATGACTCGCACAAAGAATATAGAAAATAAAAATATGTATTATCGAGGGATTGAACCCATGACTTTTTCAATCATACCCTCGGTGTTGAGTGGAAACTTTTCATGACAATCTTATTTACCTCGCCTGAGTAACCGAGGTAAAACACATTTCGTGTCCTACGTTACAAGTGTTATTTATGGTAGTAAATGTTTACATGAATCTTCTTTCCTTCAAATTTCCTTCTTGAATATCACATGATGTATTGGACATCTTCTTCAGCATCTGACTCTAAATAACCAGATACCACAAGTTTTCTCCTCAGGGTGTGTTTGTTTCATGGTTGAAAATTTTATTCCTTGGAATGATATTCCTAGGATTATTATTCTTGGGAATATTATTTCAATCCATGTGTTTGGTAAAAATTTAGGTTCCTAAGAATAATTATAAAATTTGTTTAATTTTAAATTATAAAAAAGCTTGAATCAAACATGGAATATTGCATTCCCATTGTCACATTCCCAGGAATAATTTTTGTAACCTTGAAACAAACACATCCTTATAGTTCTCTTTTCAGTAGCCTTTTATTTTCCTTCGTTCATTTTAGTCAACTTACTTACCATTATTTACATACATTTCAGTTTTTACTTTATATTTCTTATTTTTAGTGTTATTGCTTATAGACTATATCAATCCTCTCAATTTAATCTTAGTTGGTTATTCAATCTCCTTGTTTTTAAAAATTTATTTCATTATGCTGACAAGAGGAGCGTCATTATCCTCACTATCATATTTCTTAAATTTTATCACTTATTTGTTGTTTATCTTCTTATCAGCTACCACACTCTTATTTCTTTGAACCTTAGTCCTTTTCATTTGAGGCTCTTCATCACTTGAAGAATATGATGTAACATCCTTTCCATCCAGGATGCCATTCAGACATTCATTAAAAACAGATACATTCACAGTTATAGGAGATGGTTCACTGTGCGGCTCATAGGTTTCACCAGACGTTTTTCCAAAAGGTACAACATTGTGTTTAACATGTTGGTAAGTGTGGATATCATCAGACTCAATATCATCATTAGTATAGGAATCAATATCTCTCATGATAGTGTCCATATCATGCTCAGATTGCTCATAGGCAGATGAACTAACCTTTTTAAAAGTTTTTCTCTTCCTGACACCAGTACGTTTTCCCTTCTTCTTGTGGAAATTAGAAGGAGCGACCATCCTAAGAGGCACATTGTCATGAATGGATTCTTCTTTGTCGACCCTGCTACTTGATTCAGAAACCCTAGGTTTCATTGATGGTCCTTTTTATCCTAACATCTTGACCCCTTGGGTGTTTATGACTGAGTTAGGCTTGGAGATGTTGTTAGTATCAGATTGCTGGCTCATTTGAAAATTCTTTGATGACTTAGGAAATGGAGGAGATGGTTGGCGTGTGTAAAATAATTGAAGTAGTAAAACTTCTTTGGAAGGGTGTGGGTAAAAGTTTTTTGAAATTTGTGGAAATGGCGTCTGGTTTCCTATGAGGCAATGATAACTTGTGAGAGAACCTTTCATATTGCATGCTTCCTTAGAAATAACTTCTCACTCGCGCAAATGGAAATATCGCCCTTCAGTATTCCAACTTTTATTTGTCTTTGAGAACCAATCAAACTTTCTTTTATTTTCTTAGCTTAACACTCAAGGATTTATTTGAAATTTTCAACATTACTTATTTCACGTTCAGAGACTACATATTGAGTACGATGTTCCAACATTGTGTCATACATTCTTCCTATCTCATGCTTCTTAGTGTCCCAATCAATAATTTTCTTCGCACTAGTAGTTGGCTTATTTATCCACATGTAGCAGTTGTCTTTGGATCTTTATCCCTTCACTAAAAATTCTTGATTATTGCTAGAAACAATACACTCAACCTTGTTGAAGCTCATATTAAACCCTTGATCACTCAATTGACTAATACTGATCAAGTTAGTTATTAAGCCTTTTACCAGCATCACATTGTTAAGGTAAGGAAGTCATAGCCTGGCCATCTTACCAATACCCTTCATCCTTCCTTTTCATCCATCTCCAAATGTTTCATATCCTTATGGGAGTGGTTTGATTTCTTCAAGAAAATAAGTTTCACCTATCATATGATTGGAGCACCCACTATCAAGAAACCAATCATTCTTTAAAGACACCTTAGCAAATGTTTGAGCTATGAGACCTTTGACTTCAACCTTAGGTTTACACATTTTCTTATCTAGAGCCTTGCTTCCCTTTTCTTTTGGGTCTTGGTTGATCGCAGGGTTTAGGATAACCATAAAATCTAAAGCAATAGGGCCTTATATGCCCATATCTTCCACAATGATGACATCTTGTATTAGAGTTCTTTTTCTTTCCATTATAGGGATGCACATGTCGTGCAAGTTACTAGGCCGTGTGGTACAACATTTGGAACTCAATTTTTTTCTCAAGAACAAACTTCTTAGGTTGAGTTATGTCTTTCTTACTCATGAACCTGGGGTTAAACCGTATTTCCCTTATTGTTTCTAGACATTTTCCAAACTTCAAATATTTCATCTGACATATCAGACCCATTGTTTAGCATACGAATATATTTTGTCATGTTTTCCAGCTTGGATTCTAATAGAGAAACTTCTTCTCCTAGATCACTAATGGTAAATGCTTGTTTCACTTTCTCTTATAGAAGACCCTTGATAGTTTTCTTTTTTTTTTCAACTTCCATGCAAGATTTCTCCCACTTGTTGAGAGAAAAATCTGTAACTAGCAGCTAACTCCTCATTTGTCATGTCTTCATCACTGGACTCAGTTTCTAGCTCATATTTTCTAGAGTAAGCCATTACATTGTTGTCTTTTTCTCCCTTACTTTCATCATCAAAATCAGACCAAATGATGGATAATCCCTTTTTTGATTTCTTTAGAAAGGTAAGGCATTAAATTTTAATGTGTCCAAAGCCTTCATGTTCATAGAACTGATTACTCTTGATACTATTGGGTTTGTCTTCACTCTTACTTTTGTTCAGGGGACTGATGTCAAACCTCTTTTTCGGACATTCGACCTCAACTTTTTGTCCATGTTCTTCAAATATTGGTTGAAATTTTTCCCAAGAAGAGCTATAGCATCTGACAAGCTCTCTTCTTTATCATCTTGACTTTTTACCTCCTTAGTGTTAGAAACAAAGGCTATACCTTTGTTATTCTTTTCATTCATGTCATTGAAGCATGTATCAAAGGTTTGTAATAAACCAATGAGTTTATCAACTACAATGCTGCTCAAGTCCTGAGCTTCTTCAATAGCATTCACTTTCATATCAAACCTCTTAAGCAATAATCTTAGAATTTTTCAGGAAAGCTTTTCTTCATACATATTTTCACCTAAGACCAAAGAGGAGTTGGAAATATCATGTAGCGTGATGTGGAATTTATAGATAGATTCATCTCCATTCATCCTCAGATTCTCAAACTTTGTAGTAAGGAGCTGGAACCTTGACATATGAACTTTGGATGTGCCTTCATGTGCAGTGTTAAGAATATCACATGCTTAATTTTACACTAAACACGTGTTGATCAACCTGAACATGTTTCCATCCTTTTATTATAGCTTTACATGCTTTGTTGCTCATGGACTTAAGAAATATAAACATCAATGACTTCCAATAATTATAGTTGGTGCCATCCAAAATAGGTGGTTTGTTGACTGATCCTCCATTTTCCATTGTGTCTATTTGAGCATAATCTATCTTCCCTGGAGCTCAACCAACAGGTTAGGGTGTCTACTTTGATGCCAATTGAAATTATGTCCCTCATGGACAGATGTCAAACACGATTTTTAAGCAACTGGTTCAGATGATGGAGCAAGATTAATACAGTATAACTTGAACAAGATGATGGAGCCGAAAATCAATAAATAACATGACCAATTGGTAACCTAGTTCGATAGAAATAGCACATACGTCTGGTGGGTTGGCTTCAAACCAGCGAAATGAAATTCCCTATTAGTAATTTAGTACACTGAGTCTTACAAGCAACAAGAAACCATATATTTTTCAATGCCTCTTTATAATAATACCTAATGACTTTCTATTTAGGAATCCCCCTAAATATGAGACACCCTCTCACTTTCTTTTATCTCAAACATTAACTCATTAGTGTTTCAATAACTAAACCCTAGTTATCAACTTCAATTGACAAGATAAATGATGTTGAATTTAAAACTCAACTAGACAAACCTACAACTATGCCAATTTACTAAAACACATTGTGGTGTACATAAAATAACAAGAACTTTGGTAAACCTATTGCTCTTAAATAATCAATGTGAATGCTTGCTTTCCAGTGTAGGTTTTGAGCTCCTTATTTAGCAAAAGTATTATGGGCTTTTCTCCTTGGATATTTGACTTGATTTCGTCCAGAATAGTGGAATAATCAGTTGGATATGATTTTTATGATAGATCTCTCCAACAAAAGATTTGGTTTGTTTAAAATTCAAATTTAAATCTCCATTTTAATATTATTTGATCTTCACAGTTTAGCAAATCATACAATCATATTGCTAAATGTAAGCAACAATATCTAATCTAATCTTTGACCAAAGAATCTTTCAAAATGCATCAACATTGACCTGTTGTGCAAGGTTCAAATGTCGTACCAACATGTTGGGATATCTTGTCCATCATGTGTCCCTTCTGCACCTCCATACAACTTAAGCAAGCTTAATCAATCTTCAACACTTTGAACACTTCTCTGTGTTGTTTTTTTTTTTGAAAAATTCAGCCAATCTAAATTGTCAATCCAAAAGGAACTATATGTATGAATACCAGGGACACATGAGTTCAGCCTCTAAGATCCTATTCTTCCCCCCTTTTATGTAAATTCACCTTCAAGGAAATGGTTTGGTCATGGTTTATTTTTCCTCCATCAAACTGAAGACAAGATCTTCCACATCTACACGAAGATCTGGAAGAAGTTTAAGCTCAATTATTTCCTGTCCACTCTAATTTCCCCTATTGCTCATGAATTTTTTGTTGTTGTTCCATCTCCCCATCGGGGCCTACCATGTGTATTAAATGATTTAGATGCTTATGGTCCCCTAACCACTTTGTAGAGACCATTGTCTTTTACTATGTTCCATACGATTCGCTTATTGGTATGGAGAAAACCATGAAGGTGACTTGCTTTCTTTTTTTGCCAATGAGATAAGTTTCCAGGATATTTTGGGTGCAAAATCTATCGAGGAGAGGAAAAATTTCATTAATATTTGATATATCCCTATTCTATTTGGTTTTTTGTTAATTAGTGTCACGCTTACCTTGTCGATTTTTATTTTATTTTAGATGAGATCGAGAGGGGGAAGAGATAAACATCCTCGGCTTTGGTTGATCCTATTGTGCCCGTACAATAGGTTAGAGATTCTCCACCGGCAAAGGGAGACCACATGCCTACTTAACCACCCTCTGAATTTTGAAGCAAGAATAACCATGATAGACATGCTTTTGTTGGGACCAAAAAAACATTAAGCTAAAGCGCTTGCCCAAGGGAATCCCGCTAAAAGGTCAAGGCAATTTGGGTCCGCTCCTTTTATTCACTTGTTATAAAACATTGGGAATCCTCCACTTCTGATTTCCCTTGTAATGGTTGGCCGGATTCCCCAGACCATGCAAGAGATTAAGGACTTTTTTCTCTAAAAACTATGCCCATGTGTGCAAACTCTCCAAAATAAGAAAATTGGGCTTGTTGGCGGAGATGACTTTTCGACTCTGGTCATTCCCAGCCATGAGGATCTAATGGCCCCCGACTCTCCTTCTCAAGATATCAATTATTTTAAGGCTTATAATGGACTCTTCAGGTCAAAAGTTGTTGGTTATAAATGGAGTCATCTGAGCTGCACGAACGCCTGGATTAAATGTCTCATTTTTTGGACAAAGTTGACTTATAGGGGTTTCCTATTTCCCTAGTCGGTCGGGTTGTTGAGCTTGAAGTATTACTTAAAGAAGAGAATAATGGCTCTCATGATGCATAAATTATATTGGAGGCCTCGTCCTCAAGTTCCCCAATAGTTGAGATGGAACTTGAGAAATAAAAATTGTTCATTCCAAGGAGCTTAAGACCTTCGAGGAAGAATGAACCTGTTCAGAAAAATAATTGTTGGATCTCTCTAATGATGTTCTGAAAGAAACTATGTTCAAGAATAATGTGGACCAACTAGAGTTGCATGTTACATGCCTTCGAGTGTTTTATGGATTTTTTAAATTTGTTCCCCGAAATGCTTCATTGTAATTTGTTAATGCGCC